TTTAGCACCCAGTCTAGAAATGTTGAGAATGCCTTGAAATAATAACATTAGAGGGAACAACCGATTGGCAATGATCTGTACAAAAAGAAAAACCCATGGAAAACCCAGGACATTAAAAGCTTTAGGGTGCATAAGGAAAAGCCTAAATGCAGACCGAATATTTACTTTAGCCAAAGGGGTGCCTTTAACTAGAGGTCTATTTTTAGTGAGAGCATCATCAAAGGATGAGTAAGAGACCAAGATTAAATCAGAGGCAATATCATTGTTAAGGAAAGTACTGTCCTTTTCAAGAACAAAAAATGGTGACTAATTCAAAGCAAGTTCAGAAATTATTTTACGCATGAGGCCTAGCGGGGAAAACCTGAAATTAAGGAGAGGTGGGACAATAAAAGTCCCACAATTCTACCAAGAGAGATTTTTTGTAAAAGCACAAAGCAAATATAAACCATTTTATTACCTTGCCCATTGTTAAAGGCAAAACATTGGCTTTTTATATACCCCATTGCAGTAGCAACAGATGGCTGCCTAAAAGAAGGAGATATGTGAGGCATTAGTGAAATTAAACATAGACCCATGATCTTAACCTCCAGTTTCAACATGAGACATACTGCTAGTTTCTGACAAAACGCCTCAGCATAATAAAAAAAAGACAGACCAGGAAAGTTTGTATAGGCTATATGTTGAAAAAGCATCCTTGTCAACAGTAGAGCTTTAAAATATATATTTTTTCACATGCTCAAGTCAAGCAGCCTCCCCCTTCCTCCCACTTGCAAGCCAATTTGCAAAATGGAAGTAATAAAATAAACAATGTCACCTGTTGTAAATCCAGTGTAAAATCTTGTGGTCCAGCAATGTAGATCCAGCATTAATCATGAAGAGGTACAACCGATGACTCACAGCAATGACAATGCTGTCTATCGCTACTTCTGTCACATAAGACAGCCTCCAGCATATCAGGATTTTAAACAAAGGGTCAAGGGATCCCAGGGGATGTTATTCTCCAGGGCACGTGCCCTGGGTGCCACTTGAGGGGGGCGCCGTGCCACTCAGGGACAGGGCAGTGTTTGCTCCTTTAGCTAAGCTGTGCACCATTTAGATGTCTCATCATCGAAGACCCTCAGTGACAGACAGACAGCACAGCCAATCGTTGTTGTCACACATAAACAAAGACCCGGGGCAGAGGAACTTCCACTACTCCCTTCCTTTGATGAATCACCTAATGCAGAACTGGACAGAGGAAGTGAGTGATGTAAGCATTCCTTTAACCGGGCTGTTTATTTACAAGCAAACACCTCTCCTCATGTCTGGAAACAAGGGAGCTATTGGCATTGCTTATGTGAAGCTGGGGCAGGGAATTCCCCGGCCACAGATGATTGGGGAGTAGTAGAAGCAGCTTCCTTCTGTGTTTGGAGGAACTCAGGTTCAGACCAGGTTTTAATAAAACCTGAGTTAATCCCTATCCTTAAAGCATATGTAAGCTCAATCACTAACAGCTCATATAACATTTAAGATGTTGATGCAAAGTTAAAAGTTTTTTTATTATTATTTTTCAAATGTTCAGTTTTTATTAAAATAAAATCTGGTGATCCTGCCATTGAAAAGTCCTTGTTCAGACACTTTTTGTTATAGGGAGACAGCACTCTGTCCACATTCCCCAAATTTGCTCCTATGTTGTCACACTGTCTCCAGTGGAGACTACAAGAGTCCATTTCAACACAAATTACTCAGGAAATCCACCTTAAGAAATGGCATTCAGCAATCGTTGGAGCGCATGTGGACAGAAGGAGGCTGCAGAAGATTAGCAGGACTGAGATGCAATAACACATGAAAAAAGTATGGAACGGTATTTAATTTAAAATAAACTCATGGCAACTGTTTTTGATGCACCATACTCTGGCAAGCTTTAGATGTCAGTCAGCTAGGGTTTACATCTACTTTAACACAATGGGGTTGCTTTACTAAAGGCAAACAGGCTGTTCACTTTGCAAGAGAATCTGCATTTTTAAGGTGATGTTTCACCTTAGTTAAGTGAATCTGGAGACACTCTGCTTACTTCCATCACCCAATCATGTGCAAGCAAAAATATTAAAAAAAAAAAAAAATTCCTTGCACATGATTCTATATTTTTTGCTAAGCAACATGTTCATCGAGCTTAAGAGAAACTTCCCACTGCAGAGTTCAAATTCCCTTACAATGTGAACAACCTCTGTAAGGCACAACCTGGATACTTAAAGGGCACCTATGGTCAAAAAATTTAAATAAATATGTATTTCTACACATAAGTATTATCCCACTCCTAAACACTATGTTGATCTTGAAGCTTGAAAACTTACTTATTGAAGATGCCCGTACTTCCTCACTGCACAATTTCACTTAGCCCTGAAAATTGAATATGCACTTCCTTGTATCATAACTCTAAATAAGCTTGCCGTCTTAACTCAATGTCTGAACTTCCCACAATGGAACACCTTCATTATTAGCTGGAAGCAATGCATGATGAGCTATGTCTTGAGAAATCAAGATTGTTTCACATCAAGCAGCAGGGAAAGAGACACACAGCACAGGGGGAATCCAGGAAGTTGTTGAAAGTGATGGGCAGACAGAAGGCCGTATTCACTACATAAAAGTAATGTTTTAAGTAAACTTTGATTGTATTATCAAAAACAACTCTAGTATGTATTCTTTTTGCAATGCTAATGTTATATCAGGATAGTATTTGCTATGACTGTAGAACTCCTGTAATGTGGACCAGTTTATTCTGTAGCCAATGTGATAATGTTGAATTAAACTAAGCAAAGTTCAAAACAAACTTGTGATCTCAAAACCACCATTTACCATCATCACACTTTTTAACAGGTCTATGCAACACCAGCAGTCATACAGTTTACAAATGAAGCAGGATTGTTTCGGTCCATATCTCATCTAAATATATCTTTCAGCTGTACATGGAAACAATGCCTTTCCATTCTTTCCTTCCTATGCCCTGGTACAAATGTATATCTTCAGATTCATGGCTTTTTCAGATATAGCCAGTATTTAATCGAGTCATTTTGACTTCCTAGTCCCTAGAGACCATAGGAGGGGAAAATGCTGTCCCACAGGTTAAATCATCTTGCTTCCTTTGCCATTGTGAGCTGTAACAAAATATTTCCCCATCACTCACCACCCAGAGGGAAGATTTGTACTGCCAGTGAAAAGTTTAATTAGTCTAGTGAATATGTGCATTGCTTGGGTGAACTTATCTTAAGGAACATGTGGAACAGTGTAGAAAATTATTGTAGTGCAGTTAAAGCATAAGTGCTGTTCTAATATCATGCCCTTGTAAAATATTCAGTGTTTTTGTCATACAATATTACAAAAATATAGGAACAGTGAATGACACAGTTTATACATACATTACTTTTATAGCACATATTATTTTAGTTTTAAATTATTAAACATATATGGACATATTTATTAACAGTGCTAAGGGCAATGGTGGACAGTAACTCTTGACAACCAATAAGATATCAGTTTGGCGTGGAAATAAAACATTTAATTTCTGTTGGTAACTGCAACTCATTGACTTGTTGCACTTTTTTTTTAAAAAAAAAAAAGCTCTACAGCAATCTAAAAAAAAAATGCTGTAAATTTTGTAAGTTTGTAAACACAAATGGACAAGGGACTTGATACTCTATACCAGGGGTGCCCACCATGTTTTGTGTTGAGATCTACTTTTTAAATGATGAGCTACATGAGATCTACCAATGGAAAAAAAACCTCCCTCGCTCTCTCTCTGACTGTCTCTCCTCGCTATCTTGGCTGTCTCTCCTTGCTCTCTCTCCTGTCTGTCTCTCCTCTCTCTCTCCTGGCTCACCTTGCTGTATTTTGCAAACAGTGTAGTGCAACAGCCTGTGTGAACTAATATTCTTGGATGTAATACATAGCACTTCAACCACCAGAAAGGTGCCAGGGAGCTTGGCCCAGCAGACTCAGGCTAATAGGTAATCATGTGTGCACATCTAAATAAATATACCAAAATGGAATAACGGGGCCGCCATTCACACCCTTCGTGATCTACTAGCATCAGCTTTGAGAGCTACTGGTAGATCACGATCTACCTAATGGGCACCCCTGCTCTATACTGTGGCCTGCCTAAATTTATACCACTGTGGAGATGGATGCTTGGGGCAGCAGAGCCGCAATCTAGCGGCAGGGTATAACCACAAATCTTTCTGTGCACCACCAACATTATATTCTATGTCCAGTTACTGGCATGTGGACACTAATGCCAACCTATCTGACATTACGGGTCTTAGAAACATGAGCACACCATGGCAGCATGAGGGAGTATGTTAGTTTAACCAATAATTATTGCTTCTTTGGGTTACGAAAATATTTCTGATATGATATGGATGTGATCTGAACTCATGCTGGAACCAAAGGTGAAGAGTATACTTTATTTTTTCAGGTGGTACTCTTATATCACATAGGTAGTGATGGTGGTATACAAACCACCAAAGTTTTAAAACACTGCTTTAGTGTCATGAAATTCCCCATCACATATGTAATAAAATAAAAAAGCTATTTCAGAATTACTGCATTTACACTGTATGAGTAGTATATGATTATTTGGAGAACAAATTAGGCAACACTTTAGTAATTAATTAACCTTAACAGAGATATAAATTCAGATTCAGTACCCTCCTGCTGGAGAATTAATACAGAAGCAAGTTGGATAAGGGGTCTTTTCCTTCAACGGTTTGTAAACTGTATACTCTTGTTTCAGGAGTGTTTTGCTGAATCAAAGTGCTAGTATTTTTTTCACATAATCCCACATTTCACATATTAAAGTCATATGACTGTTTCCTTTAGGTAGAAGTGTGTTAGCTGTTAAAATAAGTATTCTTTTGATTTTTCTTCACCATTTTAGAAGTTGAACATATATCAATGTCTACATGTTTCTCAGCAGCCAGCATATTAACCACAGCTAAAGTTTCATGAAGTCCTGAGATTTTGTCTCAGTTTGAAAATGTATTTGCATCCAGGTAAGATGTCGATTCATTTTCAAAAAAATCTTCAAGTCTCCATTGTAGTGTTTCAAAAGTTGGTCGGTTCTCTGGCTTGACATTCCAACACTCTAACATAATGTTGTAAAGGTCTGGTGGACAATTGAATGGTTTAGGAATCCTGTACCCTTCCTCAAGTTTCTCCAGTGTCTGCCTTCCATTCCAACCTACAGGAGGGATAAAGAAGAAAAAATAAACAACTAAGTCACGTAATTTAGATAAGGGAATTATTCCTATCAGCGTTCTCTGTGGGATTCTTTTAACTACATGATGACCTTGTAAAGAGGTTAAAGTAAAGAGACCTTGTTCAGCAATTAAAAAACATGAAATTGCTCAGTTGGTAAAAACGGCAGGTAAACCATATTTGTAATTTCTCTGCATGCTGAGTTTCTTATTAAAGAATTTTAAATGAAACTGAAATTGACAGCAAAGTATTTGAAGCACCTTGTTTTATTTTAATAATAGATCATTTCAATTAAATGAAAATGTGGTCTTGTCACTGTGCGTTTCTGGTTAAATTCATTTATGAAAAGGAATATTAATGTTTAGCATTACTACTTACAAATAATCATCTAGGTGGTATTTCTCGCATAAGGTTTTCATTAGGACTCACATAAAGTTTTCTTAGTCCAAACCAAAGTTTTTAACAAGTGTACCACCTCAGTAGACAGAATACAGACTCTAGTAAGCTGTATTAACAAAACAAAAATAAATATATATATATAATAATACACAAAGACACAATGAGAGGGTGTTATTCACAAAGCTGCCGAAGGCAGCCGAGTGAGTAACCCACTTGAAGTGAAATGAGCCAAACGCTGTCCGGCTATTCACTTCAGGCTTGTGCGGCTGATTTCAGCCGTGCATCGGCTGAAATCAGCCGTATATCGGTTACCTTCGACCGCACTTCGGTCAGCCACACATGCTCTGCAAAGGACTTTGAAGGACAGAAGGACTTTGACTCAGCTGATCCAACATCTGGATCGGCCGAGCCGAAGCTCCGGCTGCTCACTCGCAGCCGTTCGCCCTCTATTCTCATAGGACGAACGTCAGTGAGTGAATAGCGGCATTCGGCTTGGCTATTCTACTCGGTACCTCCATGGGACCGAGCCAGAATAGCAATTCAATGAAAAGAGTAAAAAAAATAATAAAGTTGAAAAAATATTAAGTGTGTCAGTCATTTACGAACAGAAACTAAAAACAAGCTCAGTCATGAAGGGGTTAAATGTAAATAAATGTTAAATCTAAAAAATAAATAAATATTTTTTTTTTTTAAAAAGCAGTGACAGCTAGCTCCGCCCAACTGTTTCCTATTGTCCAACACCTGCTAGAGTCTACTAGCAGGTCCCAGCCAATGAACAACAACTGGGCGGAGCTGGTCGTGACGTCATGGGCGGCTCCGCCCAATTTTCATTGTTTACTGACAGTTCAGCGTCCCCAGGTCATATGCACCCAGCTGTCATTTCCAAGGCATAGGTTTGCCCCGCTTCGGCTTTCTCATTTCGGCTCAGTCGAGCCGAAGCATATTCCTTCAGCTCGGCTGAGCCGCTTGGCCGCCTTCGGGAGTTGTACGGGCTGTATTGAATACAGCCCGTACAGCAGCCCTTCGGTTCGACTGAACCAAAGGGCTCCCGCAACCAAAGCTTCAGCTGATCTTTCGGCTAGCTTTGTGAATAACCCTCTATATGTATACATATCCTATGTACATAATGTAGATGTTTGCAAACTCATTAGTCACCAAAGGTTGAGTATTTGTGCATTCATTTTAATAACTGTGTATATATAAACTCAACCACTAAAGCCTTGTATAGGATTTACCATATTAGGCAAATTTTAAAAGTGGTTTTTAATGTTTTTAAATATGCAGGTTTTATAAAAAATAATACTTTGTAATCCTTCTATAAATGTCCTTGTTCAAGCACAGTCTGTTATAATGTGAAACCCTTCTGTCCCTGTCTCCCAATTATTCTTCTGTGTTATCATCCTATTATATAAGCTTCTGCTGGAAAAATGTGGGAAACACTGGCGTGCACACATGTAGCCAGGAAGTGACTGCAAAGAGGCTGAAGGAGGTCAGCAGCAGAGATACTACAAAGCATGAAAATGTGTTTTATTAAAATTTAAAAAATAGCAATTGTTCATCATGTATAGTGCTTTCGATCTAAGCCAGACTGTGACTGGAGGGGTTGGTGAATGTGAACATGCATCATCTTTATTATTGCTGTAACATAAAACATGGTCAGAAAGGTGTGCCAAGCCTATACTTTTATCTCTAATTTGGATAGAGTTGGGAAAGATTAGAACCCCTGTCAGACCCTTACTGTTATCTGGGGCTCTGTACCAGTGGCGGAACTACCGCCGGTGCATCGGTGCATCCCTGCTTTCTTTTTTCCCCGCTGGACGCTGCTCCGTCTCCCAGCAGGGAGGAGAGAAAGTGACAGCCGGCCAAGCGCTGTGGAAGGAGAGCGCTGTGTTTGTGGGGTTTTGGGGGGGAGGGGGGCCAAAAAAAAAAATCTTGCACCAGGGCCCTTTGTTCCTTAGCTCCGCCACTGCTCTGTACATGGGAGAGTTGATGCAGTATGAGGGAGAAAGAACTGAGAAAAACAAAGGTAAAAAGAGCTCAGGTAACAAACATTTTACACACTCCATTATACAAATAATATGTATATTTTCCGGAAAAAAATTATAGAGCTGTGAATTGCAGAAAACGAAACTGCATCCACCTTTTGACAGAATGTCTATTTTTTTTAAAGAAAAGTTGAGTTGAGAATTACAGAAAATCAAATTCCATTCACCTATTGACACAATGTAAAAATCATATTGCATACCAGAGTATGGCATTTTTCCATATGTCATTATTTCAAACAGTAGAATGCCAAATGACCAGACATCGGATTTGACTGTGAATTTGTTGTACCGGATTGCTTCTGGTGCTGTCCATTTTAGAGGAAGCTTAGTATCATTTTTTGGCTCATAAACATTATCATCATCCTGAAATAAATGCAGAAAAGTATATGATGTGAAATAAAAATATACCCACAGTGTAAGTGTAAAATGGTTGAAAATATTATATTGCATTTTTCTGAAAATTATTTAAATATCCCTTTTAGGGTGCTAGTTTAAAATGAGAATCTGTTGAGGACCTCACAGCCCAACTACAGGAATGTTTTTTTACTAAAGGGATAGAGAAAAAAGCATTAAAACTTTTTTTCAAACTCTTGTCTCTGCTGCCTGCCTATGTACCCCAAGTTTTCCCTCCTGTTTCTGTCCAGGCAGCAGACAGAATAGGAAAGTTTGGGAAATTTCCTGGAAACCGATGCAGTATTTAAAACTTGACAGGATTTTAACCCCCAAAATACTCTATCCAAAGCTGAAAAAATAGGTTTGGCTGGTGCTGGGCTTAAATTAAAGCAATTTGTTTTTCTTATTTTAAAAGGAAAGAAGCCTATATGCAATAGTACTTTACAATAACAGAAAACATGCCCACACTCACTACATGGTGCTTAGTTTGCAATATCACACACCAAATTATAGGATCTGTTTTTTAATTTTGTCAGACCAACAGAGTGATGACATTCAGAGTTGTGACCACATATATGCCATAAAATGTACACAGTTTTACAGAAAAGGTTAAAGGGTTTTTTATTTTAACATACACAAGTTTAATATCTCTTAGTTAGATAATTGTTTGAAATAGGGATGCACCGATACTGATACTGGTATCGGTATCGGTGCCAATACCGAGTATTTGGGTGAGTACTTGTACTCGCCCAAATGCTTCGATACCTTTCTCGATACTGGAACTTCCAGTCAGAGGGAGATTTCCTCTGACCGTCAGTCCCATGAGGGAACATGGAGCTGGGAAGCTGGCTCCATGCTGTTTGGCCGGCTCGATGCTGATTGGCCGGGAAGCCGGCTTCCCAGCCAATCAGCAACAAGCCGGGCAAACAAATCTGATAATATGGTGACACGACCCCCACCTTGCAGACAAATCATTCCCCTCACATAGATCTTCAGCAGCAGTCATTACCGTACCAGTCCCTCGGCCAGCTGGGCAGACACTGCTCTCCAAGCTCTCCCGGATCTGCCCATGTCTCCTGCGTGCACAACGCCAGCACCGCCTGCTTGATGTCTGAATGAGTGCACTGGACATGCGCAGTAGCAGGCTGAGGGCTGATCATGTGGGCACTGTACACACAGGAGACATGGGCAGATCTGGGAGAGCTGAGAGAGCGGTGTCTGCCCAGCTGGCGTAGCGACATCTGTGGTACGGTAATGGATGCTAATGAGGATTGATGTGAGGGGAATGAGGTGTCTGCATGGTGGAGGTTGTGTCATCATATTGTCAGATCTGTTTGGCCGGCCTTGATGCTGCTCTGCAACAGAGATTCTTATTATGATTAACAGCAATTTAAAATTTAGAAACATACTGGACCTAATTAAAGATCATTACATTTCCCCCCAAAAATGGAAAAAAATCCTTCCACTGCCAACAAAATTATATATTGCCTACTCAAGAATTCAGTACATTGGTGTACCTCAAAAACTCTGGCAAGTCCAAAATCTGCTACTTTGTAAACACTGTGTTCTCCAACAAGTACATTCCGTGCAGCTAAATCTCTGTGGATGAAGTTTTGTGTTTCTAGATATGCCATTCCTGATGCCACTTGAGCAGCCATGTCCACCTGTTGGGGTACTCTAATCATTGTACCATTATCATCTGGAAAAACAACAATGCATCATCATTACTGTGCCTTAGAAAACCATTACAACAGATACGTCTACTGTCACAGCGCTCAATAGATCTAGCTACACAATATTATGGAATTTTTTTCCTCCTAATCCTGTAGAATTAGATTGTGATATGTTAATATGGGGGTTGAATTGTAAAAAAAACACATGTCTGTGCTTTGTGTTTCTACATATCAGCCTATTCTCCTTGATTAAAACTGCCCTGCCACTTGCATATATTTCTACACAGCCCTCACATTCGGGCTAAGACTCTAGTAGAGACACAGGGCACAAGGAGGTATTTTCCTAATAAAATATACAGAGGGTTATTCACTAAGGAGCCAAAGGATCTTGCCGCATCTTTTGGATCACTTTTGCCGCTGAAGCCCTTCGGTTCAGTAGAACCGAAGGGCTGCTGTACGGGCTATTCACAGTAGCCCGTACAGCATCAAAAGGCAGCCAGGCTGCTCAGCATATGCTTTGGCTCGGCTGATTCGTAGTCATAGCAGACCATTTTCCCCGCAAATGAGAACTGGTGGCCGGCTCCGCCCAGTTGTTTTAATTTTCCCAGGACCTGCGGGAAGACTCTGGCAGGTGCTGGCCAAATGTAAACAAATGTAAACAGTGATGTCACTGCTAGCTCTGCCCAATTATTTATATTTTGCAGGCATCTGTCATATTCTTCATTCTGCAACGGGAGTTCGTCGGGTGCGGTCAGGTGAGTCAGGTTTTTTTTTTTAATTTTCGTCATCGTGGACAACGCTGGATTTCGTGATTGACCTTAGGATTATGTTGTGGGATCAAATTTTTTTTTAAATAAAGGAATTGTCAAAATTCCTTGTGTTTTTGTTTTCTATTAAAGGATGTTTTCAAAAGTGTAGGCTCTTATTTTAAATGTAAATTAACCCTTTTTTTTTTCCACAGTGTAAGTGTAAAATGGTTGAAAATATTATATTGCATTTTTCTGAAAATTATTTAAATATCCCTTTTAGGGTGCTAGTTTAAAATGAGAATCTGTTGAGGACCTCACAGCCCAACTACAGGAATGTTTTTTTACTAAAGGGATAGAGAAAAAAGCATTAAAACTTTTTTTCAAACTCTTGTCTCTGCTGCCTGCCTATGTACCCCAAGTTTTCCCTCCTGTTTCTGTCCAGGCAGCAGACAGAATAGGAAAGTTTGGGAAATTTCCTGGAAACCGATGCAGTATTTAAAACTTGACAGGATTTTAACCCCCAAAATACTCTATCCAAAGCTGAAAAAATAGGTTTGGCTGGTGCTGGGCTTAAATTAAAGCAATTTGTTTTTCTTATTTTAAAAGGAAAGAAGCCTATATGCAATAGTACTTTACAATAACAGAAAACATGCCCACACTCACTACATGGTGCTTAGTTTGCAATATCACACACCAAATTATAGGATCTGTTTTTTAATTTTGTCAGACCAACAGAGTGATGACATTCAGAGTTGTGACCACATATATGCCATAAAATGTACACAGTTTTACAGAAAAGGTTAAAGGGTTTTTTATTTTAACATACACAAGTTTAATATCTCTTAGTTAGATAATTGTTTGAAATAGGGATGCACCGATACTGATACTGGTATCGGTATCGGTGCCAATACCGAGTATTTGGGTGAGTACTTGTACTCGCCCAAATGCTCCGATACCTTTCTCGATACTGGAACTTCCAGTCAGAGGGAGATTTCCTCTGACCGTCAGTCCCATGAGGGAACATGGAGCTGGGAAGCTGGCTCCATGCTGTTTGGCCGGCTCGATGCTGATTGGCCGGGAAGCCGGCTTCCCAGCCAATCAGCAACAAGCCGGGCAAACAAATCTGATAATATGGTGACACGACCCCCACCTTGCAGACAAATCATTCCCCTCACATAGATCTTCAGCAGCAGTCATTACCGTACCAGTCCCTCGGCCAGCTGGGCAGACACTGCTCTCCAAGCTCTCCCGGATCTGCCCATGTCTCCTGCGTGCACAACGCCAGCACCGCCTGCTTGATGTCTGAATGAGTGCACTGGACATGCGCAGTAGCAGGCTGAGGGCTGATCATGTGGGCACTGTACACACAGGAGACATGGGCAGATCTGGGAGAGCTGAGAGAGCGGTGTCTGCCCAGCTGGCGTAGCGACATCTGTGGTACGGTAATGGATGCTAATGAGGATTGATGTGAGGGGAATGAGGTGTCTGCATGGTGGAGGTTGTGTCATCATATTGTCAGATCTGTTTGGCCGGCCTTGATGCTGCTCTGCAACAGAGATTCTTATTATGATTAACAGCAATTTAAAATTTAGAAACATACTGGACCTAATTAAAGATCATTACATTTCCCCCCAAAAATGGAAAAAAATCCTTCCACTGCCAACAAAATTATATATTGCCTACTCAAGAATTCAGTACATTGGTGTACCTCAAAAACTCTGGCAAGTCCAAAATCTGCTACTTTGTAAACACTGTGTTCTCCAACAAGTACATTCCGTGCAGCTAAATCTCTGTGGATGAAGTTTTGTGTTTCTAGATATGCCATTCCTGATGCCACTTGAGCAGCCATGTCCACCTGTTGGGGTACTCTAATCATTGTACCATTATCATCTGGAAAAACAACAATGCATCATCATTACTGTGCCTTAGAAAACCATTACAACAGATACGTCTACTGTCACAGCGCTCAATAGATCTAGCTACACAATATTATGGAATTTTTTTCCTCCTAATCCTGTAGAATTAGATTGTGATATGTTAATATGGGGGTTGAATTGTAAAAAAAACACATGTCTGTGCTTTGTGTTTCTACATATCAGTTTATTCTCCTTGATTAAAACTGCCCTGCCACTTGCATATATTTCTACACAGCCCTCACATTCGGGCTAAGACTCTAGTAGAGACACAGGGCACAAGGAGGTATTTTCCTAATAAAATATACAGAGGGTTATTCACTAAGGAGGCAAAGGATCTTGCCGCATCTTTTGGATCACTTTTGCCGCTGAAGCCCTTCGGTTCAGTAGAACCGAAGGGCTGCTGTACGGGCTATTCACAGTAGCCCGTACAGCATCCAAAGGCAGCCAGGCTGCTCAGCATATGCTTTGGCTCGGCTGATTCGTAGTCATAGCAGACCATTTTCCCCGCAAATGAGAACTGGTGGCCGGCTCCGCCCAGTTGTTTTAATTTTCCCAGGACCTGCGGGAAGACTCTGGCAGGTGCTGGCCAAATGTAAACAAATGTAAACAGTGATGTCACTGCTAGCTCTGCCCAATTATTTATATTTTGCAGGCATCTGTCATATTCTTCATTCTGCAACGGGAGTTCGTCGGGTGCGGTCAGGTGAGTCAGGTTTTTTTTTTTAATTTTCGTCATCGTGGACAACGCTGGATTTCGTGATTGACCTTAGGATTATGTTGTGGGATCAAATTTTTTTTTAAATAAAGGAATTGTCAAAATTCCTTGTGTTTTTGTTTTCTATTAAAGGATGTTTTCAAAAGTGTAGGCTCTTATTTTAAATGTAAATTAACCCTTTAGTGAATTGGTAGGGGGTACAAGTACCCCTTACTCATTCACAAGGGGGTGCATCTGTGTGCCCCTTTATTAAAGGGGTACCCCGATGCAAATAAGCCCCCCCTGCCTGCACCCCCACAACCAACGCCCCAAGGCTTGTTGGGAAGAGACCCTTGTCCCCATCGGCACAGGTTTTCCTACCAGACCCCTACCAGGCCTAAAGTGTCTGTTTGTTTTTCCTTATCTTTACATTTTTTTTATTACCTCCGAGGTAACGAGCAGAATACCCAACCCGAATGCTGCTCAGCATGTAGGGTTTGTTGTTGCTTGCATATAGGCAGTCTCAGTGGAGACTAAATAATGCTGAATAGGTATATTACCTGTGGATAGAAAGTGGCACAACTGCACACATCCTCCAGAAAGAATAAGATTTGCTATGACAATACTCATTTTATTTCCCAGAACTTGTTTTTGGTTGTATTGTTGTTCCTGGTGCACTTAAAAATGTTTTAAGACACATAGATATATCATACATCATTGATCTGAAACCATCACTATACATGTAATTTATTAAATGTTTAGTTCATGGAGATACGTAGATCATTCTAAATGCAGCGCATCAGTATATCAGTCCTAACATCAAACATCTAGTAAGAACGACAATCAGTTAGGTGTTTTGACAATTGGAAAAAATGTATTACTTTGAACTGCAAGTAATTGGTATTCTGCTAATGGCAGAAATGTTGTTACTGCAGGGTAATTCATTAAACTTCTCTTACTTTTCTTTCCCAAAACTGCAATAACTCACATCCCTGTCTAGTACACGGCAATACAATTTCAACCAGGAACAAATTAATACACATTTTTCAAAGTAAAGAGACTTTACAGTTACTGTGAGCTTGCTGAACTGCAATAGCCTAGTAATGGTGAAGTAATTAATAGCGTTTCTTCTCAGGGCAATTATTCTTTATTGCTCAGACCTTTTTTTTTTTTATTTCTGAGTCGAATCCTCTTAACATACCACTATATTGGACAAAGGTGTTATACTGCATACACACACTTCAAAATAGTATCAGCAATACATAGGAAATCCAAAAAAATGCAAACATTCTTAGTAAAGGAAAAGTTTGTCAACAAGTCATGCAAATATAAATAAGGCCAAATAAGTACTTACATTCTCATTAGAAGCCCTTGCTAGTGGCCCTTAAAGGGTGGGAGCTACACAGCTGCACTGTGACCACAGAGCAGTTTGTCTCTTACACCCACCACAATATGACAGGACGACGTGGAAAACAGAGGGAGAAGAGAAAAGGACTGATTGGCTGCAGCCACAGCCATCTTTTGGCCCAGCCCCAGCATATGAAGGAGGGGAGCCAAATGGGCAACAGGAGCAGGAAAAGAGCCATGAGGGGCTGCTGTGAGGAGAGCTGCCTGGGACACAGAGAGAAGAGTGGGAAAGTGTGCTGTGTGGGTTTCCTAGAGTGAAGATTGCTGCAGAGGGTATCTGTGAAGAGTGCTGTGCTGTGGGCACAGGAACCATGAGGAGAGACTGTGCTGTAAACTAGTCTGAGCCAGTAAACCCTAGAAGGCCTGAGTATCCAATTTAAGATATAAGCCCTCTGACCTCTGGGGAACAGACTACTGACTCTTGGACAGTAAGTGGTAAGAGGTCCTTAGGTACCTTTATTTCTACTGACCTTGCTACTGAGTCATCCAGAACTTTTGTAACTCTCCCCTGGATTATAGGTACTATCAATAGAGAGGGAGAGCACTCCAATAAGAGTTCATGGTCCCTAATATGCAGGAACATTTTAGCCCACTGGCTGTTTCAGTTCACTTATAAATTTACTGGACTTCTCCCTACTGTACTTCCCTTCACACACTTACATAAAACTGACTGTTGTCACTGACAAGAATCGTGATCCCAATGAATGATAGGTGTTCCAATAAAAAAGTGTCAAAAGTTTAAATACAAGCAAAAGTTCAAATACAAAAAAGTAGGATCTGTACCTCTACCACCTCTGTACCTATGTTGAGCCTTAAAAAAAACTATGATCATTTCTTTGGTGTATATTTTTGACACAACTTGCTACTAAATCATAGATATTATGAGAAACAATAAGAGATAATCAAGACTTAACTTGATAATGCGTAGGTGCCTGCTTTCAAAAAACAGCATTAAAAATATATTAATCTTTAATGTTGGGCATAATCTGGATCTGATCAAGATTTCTCCCATCAAATTGCCCTCAGATTTACACTCTAAGATGAGAAGAGTCGTTGCATGATAAGCAGTATATTGATTTCTACTATCCATGTGAAATATGCAGCAGTGGATAGAAAAAAAAAGCTTTTTAAATTCATAAAATATATGATGCATACTTACTTTTTATGTATGAAAGCAGACTTCCATGTCTCATGAGCTCAGTAATAATATACATAGGATCCTCTAAACTACACACTGCGTACAGCTGAATCAGTTTTGGATGCCTTAGGTTCTTCATAAGCTGTGCTTCTCTTAAGAAGTCCTGTGGATTCATTGATCCTGAGATACAAAAAGCAAAAGGAAAATAGCATAGAGTTGATGTTATTAAGGACTACTCCTATCTACACAGGAACCATGTGGGAATAGTTAAAATTGCTTTCTGCTTTATGTAATCTAAAAGATGACAAATCTTCCAAGCCATCAAAAGATATCAGTTCAGCTGAAAAAAAGAAGATGTATAATTGGAGGATGTAGTATGGGTTAGAACAACAAGAACCTTTTATGTCTTTCTGGCCTTTGAAAATAATGAAACGAGAATACTCTGTAACAACATAACAAGGAAGCACCAGTTCATATTTCATACAGTTCCTTTAAAGGGAAGGAATGGTATCCTAGTGATGGTGCTGAAATAAAATTCACTACTATCACCATGAGATAAAAGTAATTTCAGTTTCTTTTAATGCTGTAACAATTTAACAGTATGTCTAGCCAATTTTGTGTGTGTTTTGGATAGTGTGGGAAAGGGTTAGAACCCTTGTTGGGTTTTACTGCTACACAGGACTCCATTAGAGATTTCCCCTGGCTTCCTTTTCTGGTGACAAGTTTTACTAAACAGGAAGAGAGCATTAATATCCAACAACAACACAGACATTACTGTATTAGTAGAATTGGAGAAGGCTAGAACCCCTGCCACTATTTATAGCTTCCACCCAACTGGAAAGCTTAGAAGTGGATCATATAAAAACAAACAGACTTCCTCCTTAATGGAAATCTTTTTAAATGTTATTGTTTCAAAATTTAGACCCCCATCCTAAATGACTTACGGTCCCAGACCAGTTTTTCCATTTAGACAATGTCTTGGTTCCGCCCAATATATCTTTTAGCGTTTGAAAATATACCCTAACGTATTACACATTTTTGTTTTAAAAAAAGAAAAGGGCTTTAATTTGGTATTTTTATGTTCTTGTTTTTTATTGGTATACATATGCTGTAAAAAATAAAATCAAAGCAACTGGATTGTTCTTGAGGACATTTCGCTGGTTATCCAATCAGCTTTCCTAATTCAGAATGACTTGCACAAAAAATATCTGGGAATAAATATGGTGAATGTTGCTCCAATCAACATAAATCTGTTTGAATAACCAGCATTGGGTCAGAGACCCCAGAGAGGTAAGGTGATGATTTCATTTACAAGATTGGAGCTAGCAGGTATAATTAAGCCACCCAGAGAGAAGGACTCTACACGCGTGTAAAAATTTAAATAGTAAAAGTTAAAAAGAAATAAGATATTTAAAAAAAACGATTGGGCGGAGCTAGCAGTGACAGCTAGCTGACTGGCTGACCGGCCAAATGAAACACAACTGGGCGGAGCCGGCCAGATCATTTGGGGACGCTAATCTGTCATTACAACTGGGCGGGGCCAGCTGTAAGATCAAGGCTGGGTCCGCCCAATTGTCATTTGCAGGGCCCCACTTCGGCTGTCACTTCGGCTCAGTCGAGTCGAACATATGGCTTTGGCTCAGCTGAGCCACTCAGCCACTGTACGGGCTCCGGCGGCTGAAGAGAGCTGAAAGATCAGCCGAAGCTATGGCTGGATCCTTCGGCTCCTTCATCAATAACCCTGTAAGATAACATGATTTTCCATGATTAAAACAAGTGAGAGATCTTGTTCTGACTTAAAAAAAAAGACAAAAGTATGGTGGATACACTGGCAGCTTTGCACCCACAGGGATTGAATAAAAACAATGGGGATCTTTCAAAATCTAGGTGAGGCATTGGGTTTCTGGACCCCCCGATCTACCATGCTACAGTTCACCCAGCAGGAATTGTCGATTGGTGTTGCCATCAGGACACAAAACTCTGGATTAATCTTGAACCCTCTCTTTGTAAATTCCCCCTTGAGGGTCTGCCTTGGACAGGTAATGTTAACTGTTGCAGTGTTAAGAAATGTCCCCTGATTTTTTCCACCCTACAGACTTCTTATGGGGTGTCTCGCAGATGGAACACAGCCCATTATCCTTCCCCTATGACACCCATTATTGGGCACCCAGTATTCCTTTCCAGTGATGGGGATATAATTTTCTCTACCTGGATAGGACATAACAATTTTCGGGCACACCACTTAATCTCTATAGAAGGCTGCTGGACTCCGGTTCTAAATACATAAACCCCCGGCCTGGATTTCCTGGGACACACCTGTCTCGCACATTTCCTACAATCTCTACCTAACTATACATCCTTTTAAATGCCCACTCACACTCTTCGAGAAATGCTGCTCTCAGGCTGCTCCGCAAAGGAGGTATTTTTTGGTGTCCTATTAGCTTCTATTAGCCTCAAAAGACTTACCCTATTCTTCCTTTATCCAAAAATGGGAATGGGACTTGGGGGTTAAGTTCTCCCCCCAACAACAAGACCACATTATTTACTTTTTGCACTGTGCTTCCTGTTCTAATAAGTACCAGGAAGCAAACTACAAATCGATGACTAAGTGGTATAGAACTCCATCTGTGTTAGCTAGGCACTTCCCAGGGCAAATTATAAATGTTGGCAATGTGCTGAATTGTGCGGCACAGACTCCGTGGGACATGAGAGAAGGAGGACAGAGGAGTCAGCACTGGATCAAAGACCCGCACCAGCGTTGTAGGAACATCTGAAAACGACACTAAAGAAGAAGATGATCGGATTAAGAGGTGTGATTTAAGGTAGGTCACTACACTAACATTGGGGGGAAGGGAAAACAATAGCCTTTAATGTTACTTTAAGAACAGATCAGCAGTCTTTAGCAAGACACAGTTTTACTGGATTCAATTTAAACACTGTGTAGTGTATCCGGAAACCCTCCTTGCTGATCACGGTGGCCCTGATGGATGCGCCGCCTGATACCCTCTGGATTTATCCCATCTCCAATGCATGGCTCCTATTTGTCAGCCTCTTCTCAGTTTCCTCCCACTGGGGATTGTCCGTACTAGCCGTTTCCTTTTCCTTCTCACAACCTTCAACTTTTCTCCTCTGATGCTATTCTGAAATTTGCCTTTCTTTCTTCATTCTGCTTTCTTTCTCTGCTTCTTTTCCCCTCACAGATCATCAAGTTAATAAGAAAAAGCCCCCGGTAGAGAGATAGACACGTTTAGTAACGGCCAGGTCCTTGTGTGTTACATGCTTTAATTATTGATGATTTCTCCATTGTTGCGTGCTGTACCGTTTATATACCATTTGTACTTGATTTAATTTTTGTATGCCAGGCTGTTATAACCTTTCCTATTTGTCCATGGCATTTAAAAAAAAGAATTAATAAAAAAAAAGTTTGCATGTTAGAAGAGCACGCATTGCTCTTAGAGGTGTTTTGTGAATATGTTCTAATCACACTTAGCCACAAATGGGGCCACTTTTGCTAATAAGTGTGTGTGTGTCATATCATAAGGAAATAATATTCATCCTAAGGCTGATAATGCTGTGATAAAAACGGTATTGCTCATCTCCAACTAGACCCTCTATTAATACACATTCACTTGGGTTCTCCGTCTGTTTCTAGGTGGACCTCATTATAACTTAATACAAATACTTGATCTTAGTTTCTCAAAACAGTGTGCTGATGGATCTCTTCTGGCAGCAGTTGGTATCCTAGCTACAGACCACATTTATCACTACTGGACATAGTGGGATGGTTACATTATTACAACCCCAATTCCCCAAAAAATGGGACGCTGTGTAAAATCAGACAGTGATTTTTCAAAGTATCACTGAGGCCATGCAGTGACACCATCACAGAATCATGACTGTTTTAAAAAAAGATCACGTGCATCCAATATTGTGTTTTGGCCTTGTCCCTTGCGCACAGAGATTTCTCCAGATTCTCTGGATCTTTCGATATTATGTACTGTGGACAGAGCCGGCCTTTGGAGCGTTCAACTGTGCGGCTGCACAGGGCGCCAGGCGGCCAGCAGCTTGTCCTCGGGGCAGCACAGCCTGCGGCTTCTCTCCTCCTCACTGCCCGGCCATCCGACATGACAGCGCTCCCTCCTCCGCCCCCCCCCTTCAGCGCTGTGCTCGGATACTTGCTGCCTGTATGGGCTGAGGCAGCGGGGTTCAGAGGAGAAACTGTCCGCTGAAGCCTGTGGGGCAGGGGCGCAGGGAGTGCTGCCTGCTGTCAGGATGGCCAAGCGGTGAGGAGAGAAGCCGCAGCTGTCAGGACGGCTGAGCAGGAAAGAGAGCGGAGCCGCTGTCATCCTGTCAATTTCAGGATGACAGCGGCTCTGTGCGTGGCTGAGCAGAGGATCGGTAAATATCAGTGGTATTTACCGATCCTCTGTGAGAAGGACAACCATTGGAGCGACCATCTAATCACTCCAATGTTTGTAAATAGCTGGGGACACATAGTACTATGGATGTGCTTTATATCACTTCCTGTTCATTCATAAGTTTCTGAATGGGGAGAAGCACTCACTACAGAGGCTCCTCCCCATTCATAAACTGGTGATAGTAAATATTTTACTATCTTCAGTTTCTGAATGGATGGGAAGCCTCGGTACTGAGTGCTTTCCATTCATTTAGAACAGAGGCGGCAGAAAAAGAAATTGAGGACTTTGTGTCCTCAATTTCTTTTCTATTTCAAAAGGTAAATGTCAGGGGCCTGTTTAGACCCCCGATGTTTCCCCGAAGCCCCCCCAACAGTAATACTAAAATCATTTTCATTTGTTTCATCAAACAAAACAAATGTTTATGCTATTTTGGATTCAGCCATTGGCGTGTTCTGGAGGCATGGTGCATGATGTCATATGACACTGCACATGTTGGGCGCCGCCATATTGGTGTATATCTAGGTATACTGTACACCAAGATGTTGGCGCCAATATCGGCGTGTGACATCACCTGACGCCACGCATGCATGGCATCAAGTGACATCATGCTCCCCACCTCCAAGATGGTGGCACAAATTCGCAGAAGGTGCTGGGGGTCAACATGGCCGCTGCGCATTCTGAAACAAATTATTATGTGCCTGAATACATTTTTCGTATATCCGGGCAAATAGCAATTCATTAATTTAACATGTAGTCTAGGTTTTGTGTTCTGTTTTTTATTTTTACTTTTCTAGATGCACTTACTTGAAAAAAGGGTGCCGGCATGACATCCTGCCACTTTAGTTTTAGAGACTCTATTTTAGTTTGACATTTATTGTTTGCTTGTTTGCCTACAGTAAGAATACTAAAGTTTAATACCTTTGAATAAAAGTTTTATTTTAGCATACTTTTTAATATGTTTCTTCTTCTTAACAAAATGGGGAGTCTTTAAATGGTTACTGAGGGGTGTGGTCACTGAGGGGCACTGTAAAGCTTTCTCGCACAGGACGCCTAAAGGCCGGCTCTGACTGTGGATAGTGATATATTTAATAGTCTTTGCTTATTTTACATTAAGGAACATTATTCTGAAATTGTTCAATAATTTTTAGATGCAGCTTTTCACATATTGGTGAACGTCTGCCCATCTTTACTTCTGAGACACTCTGACTCTCTAAGATGCTCTTTTTATACCGAATCATGTTATTGACCTGTTGCCAATTAACCTAATTAGTTGCACATGGTTTTCCAGCTCTTCCTTGTCAGTACCACTTAAGGTGCCCATACACTGCTCGATTCTCGTACGAGAATCGGGCGAAATCCCGCAATCATACGAGAATCGAGCAGTGTGAACTAAGACGTGCGACTGTTTCTACTGTACGGTCGCACGTCTTTTGTCGAGCCAACATGCTTGAAAACCAGCCGAGAATCGTACGATTCTCGGCGGGTTTCTAGCCTGCTAGCCCGATAGCTGCGGAACGGGCCGGTGTGCGCACGCGCACACTGCCCGCTCTGCATTGCCGTCATTGGAAGCCCGCCCCTCAGCGGGGCGGGCTTCCGATGATCGCAAGTACGATCTGCCCGTCCAAGGTGGGCAGATCGTACGGGCTTTTAATGAGCATACGACCATCGCAAGACAAAAGTCTTGCGATGGTCGTAAGGTGTATGGGCACCTTTACTTTGCAAGGTTTTTGTTGCCCTGCCCCAAGTTTTTTGAGAAGTGTTGCTGCCAATTTCAAATTGACATTTTATTTTTTAAATGGTACATTTTCTCAGTTTACACATTTTATATGTTTGTCCAGATAGGTAAAGTAACAAGTCTGTTGGATGACAGGATTAGCAAGGAGTCTTTTCTTTCCTTTTGTAAACATACCACCCTATGCAGCCTATGCAGATGCTTGAATCCCCAAATTTGGGGGGAGGGGGGTCCAAGCTTAAACAGAGCTAAAGGCCTTACCCTTCACCCCCATGTGACAGGCCGAAGGCATAGTTCTTGACCATTTAACATCATCGGCTTTATTGTAAAATGCAGAAATAGGAGAAAGTGATGTTCTTCTTTATAACAAGGAGCACCAGATTGTTATTGGGGCTTCAGTGAATAAATAGGGGATTGGTACAGTATATGCAAGCTAAGTAGAAGCTGCTTACCATACCTCCTATCCAACAAACCTGTTACTTTATCCTGAATCGTGATATACAAGTTCCCTAGGATTGATATGTGAACCTTATTTAAAGAAAACCTAAAAGCCATTTTACATTTTTGAAAGTAAACATCCTGCCCAAAAGCAGGCACCGCAATGTTTTCTGCTACTCTTTTATGCAGAAAGACTGTTTTTTGTGCCCTTCTAACCCTAGTTTTATTTTGTGACATTTCCCCAGATTTTGGTTTTGCAGCATCCCAAACTCCATCCACCAACTGTGACACTGTCCAAAAAGAGTGTCTTAATGATCAACATTGGCACTCTAACTACAAGAAAAATGTGGCCTGGAGTTTATCTTCTGACCTCAGATAAGTCATTGGTAACAAAGTAAACCAAGGATCAGATGATTTTATTAGACAATTGTAGACACCTTGTGTTGCTGTCTATTTTACCTTCAGATGTTTAAGGTTTATAGATTTGTTTTAATACACATATCACAGTAGCAATTAACTTTACATGCATCAGCACTACATACCAGGTTTTAAAGTTTTAATGGCCACTGATATGGTGTTATTCCACAGTCCTTCCCAAACTTCACCAAATTGACCTTGCCCCAGTTTCTTCAGGAACTTCAAAGAGTTTCGGTCAATTTCCCAATGATCTGCAGTATTATAACACAAATCTGGTGGCAAAGGTATTTCTGTCTTGTTTAGAGAAAAACAAAAATATGTTAAAATTACTAATCAACAAAGAAGACAAGTAAAAGATCTGAATCTTTGTAATTTACATAGTGTATCCTCCCCATCTAACAGAGAATGTAAGCATTCCCCATTAAGTTCTGCCATCACAAAAGGACTTATATATTTTGCTTTTTCACTGATAGAAATACAGATACTTGGCTTTATTGTGATAAACAACCAATCCATTCTATGTGCTGCTTCTTCCTATACCAGAAAACTTTTTGTCCTTAGATCTTGCATCATCGTCTGTATCATCAGTACACCCTAATAGCTGCATCTGTTTAATAAATATCTAACCTGAGGCTTGTATAGCTGCCCTTCAATAAATTTCCCAAAGTGTCACATCAAAGAACATTCACTCTGATATTGCCCTGCCTCAGTTCACTGATAGTATTCAATGCCTCTGGCAAGGATAACTGGATGCACATCTGTGCTATACTGCCCATTATAATCAGTTTTACCACCCTATTAAGCTTGTCTGTACTGCTCACTTTTCTGATAATATTTTTGATATGCTGCTCTACAATAAACCCAGTAGGCAATGAGTTTTTATTCTATTATTATAAGTCTTTCCAAATATTTGCTTTAAACAAAAAAACTTGATCTGTTATTCACCTTCCAGAATGAATAACAGATCAAAGCCTGCTTGGTATTTTCCCAGTTCCATGGTTTTAGTCGTGATGCTATTATATCTGTAGAATCAAGCTTAGCAAGAATACTGTATATCACTATGGGGTCTATTCACGAAGCAGCCAAAGGATCTAGCCGTAGCTTCGGCCGATCCTTTGGCTAGCTTCGGCCCCAGGACCCCTTCGGTTCAGTAGAACCGAAGGGCTGTTGTACGAGCTATTCACAATAGCCCATACAGCTCCCGAACTTTGCCAAGCGGCTCAGTCGAGCCGAAGGCATATGCCTCGGCCGGCCGACAGCCTGCTTCTGACAGCTGGGTGGAGCCAGCCGTTTCACTCACTGCTGTTCTGCATCTATAAGAATAGCCCGAACAGCAGCGAGTAGCCTGCCGGAGGTTCGGCTCAGCCGATCCAGATGTTGGATCGGCTGAGTCGAACTGCTTCTGCACTTCAGGTCGGCTGAACATGCTGAGCATGTTCGGCCAACCCGAAGCCATGCGAAGCAAGCCGATGTACGGCTGATTTCAGCCAATATACGGCTGAAATCAGCTGTACAAGCCTGAAGTGAATAGCCGAACAGTGTTCGGCTCACTTCACTTGGGGTCGGATGTTCACTCGGCTGCCCTCGGCAGCTTCGTGAATAGACCCCTATATTTCCTACATTCCAGGAGGCCTTTTCCTACTAAAGTAATGCACATAGAATACATTGCAGTTCATTTAACCTAAGTATTTTTCTACCCCTACCATCTTAAAAAGGACATAGATCTTTTTAGAGATCACAAAACATAAATCATTTCTGCAATGACAGTTTATCTCCAGGTGTTCAGTCAGTGGCTAAAGCTGCTAATGTTTCCTGGTACTAGACCAACCCCTATTTACTGCATTACTGATTTACTGTAAATATTAAAGGGTCTACTCTCTTAACAGAATTGGCTTCACCAGGCCAAAACAGCACTGCCTTTTATTATGCACTACTACTTTTTTAAGCTCCTGCCTATTGACTTTTCTGGCCTGGGCGACCCTAACAAAAACGTATCCTCCAGCCAACATTAGGGTCACAGTGGGACAAAATCTTGTACTTATACAGAAATATATTGCATACACGTTTCTATTTTAAATATATTAGTTTGAAGTTTATTTTACTTAAACGTCATCAAGGGAATCCAATATCTTTTAGGTCTATTTACATTTTAATTATAAAAAAAATAACATTCTCTTGGCAATGTTCTGCCCTCTCTGCTCGTGGCTAACTTGTGGAAATGTTTTTGCTGCACACAAGTCAAAGGATGAGAATATCAACATCCGTTTTGTCTGCAAAACTATAATTTTACACGCAAACTTCAATACTCATTCAATTTTTTCAGCTAGAGCCTTGCTTTAAATTACACCAAACATTTTATAAAACAGATACACGTTCAAAAGTTTATATATCTTCAATTAGTAGCAGTACTGTAATTGAATAAAAGAACCCAAAACACAAAAAAGAAAGAGCCGCAATCATTTTTCTTTCCACAAGATGGCACATGAATCTGCTTTTTGCGCAATTTGTATTCTGACAACAAATCTTCGAAAAATGTCAAACAAGGAAGTACTGCTTTTATTTCTAGAAGCAACATTTGTTGGGAAAAAAACCCTCCAGAATGAACTGCAAATGTTGAACACATAAAGGTCAGATGATTACTGGTGTTTTATTTACGATCTTTAGGTAGAGTGACATTTTGGGCAATGACTATTTTGATAATGGCCAGGATTAGCTCTTATCCCATCCTATAAGAAGAGATGGTATTGGCCAAAACTACAACTTCCTGTATACTCTGTTGCCTAATGTAACTGGAGCACATAAACCCTTTATTAGGGAGTCATTCATCAATCTTGAGCTGGCAAATTTGTCTTATTTCCACACATGTGCATTACATTTCCATAGCAGAGATACTCACAATCTGCATGACAAGAATAGCAGGCTGTGTAGTAGCAGAAGAAACCATTATAAGAGTGTCTGCCTATTAAACGTTTCTTGACCAGAAGTCATTAAAGCCTAGATGTCCAGGCCAAATTTAGCAGCATCAGTATGCGTCAGTTAAGTTGACAATAACTCTATGGATAGCTTGCCTGTCTGAATAATGTTTTACATTGTTGTTTTAAGGCAAAATGCTTTATTATTTTATTTGGTACCTTGTTTTAATTACTACTCTTATTGCTATTATTACTTTTTATTAATTATTTTAACTTTTTATATTTTTTCGTGTTTACTCACTGTATTGCTCTGTGACATCTGCAGCATGCTTGCCTGTGTGCAAGCTACAGTAACAGCTAAGCTGGCAGGTTTGTTTTTGCACATATTTTTTGTTTACTGTGTAGTGGCAGTGCCGCTTCACATATTTGAATGATATTAATGCACGCTCATGCAGCCAATTTAAGTGAGCAGCTGTAAGGAGGAACACCCAGTTTTTTAAGAGTAATCGAGCGCAGAAGTCTCTATAGGAAATGTATTGTAAATGCTACAGTTGCCTGTCATTGTGATCAGGGCTGGATTTCCCACAAGGCCAACCAAGGCCCGGCCTTGGGGCAGCAGTGAGTAGAGAGGCAGCGGGGGTGTGGAATTCCTATCACCCGACGCCCTGGACACGCAGTTTTTTTCTACATTTAGCCCTGCTTTGGGAAAGCAAAGCTAAATGTACAGCGGGGAAGCCGCCGCTTGTTTTGTACAAGTGATCTCAGTCATGTTGCCAAGATCACTTGTCAATTCTCCAGGTCTATGCCATTCTCCATTGGGGGGTCACATGATTAGGAACTATACAGGTTAGTTCTGATTGCTAGTGTAGACCAGCAGATCATAGTTTTAGCAAAGAACAGGGTACAGGGAATGGTACTAAGGAATGCTAAATTACAGATTGCGGGCATCTAGTGTTTCACAATCGTTAGTGTAGACCAGCAGCTCTTAGCTTTAGTATAGAACATAGATTAAGGTTCTCTTGGTACAGCAAACTGTACTAAGGAACATTAAACTACAGATTGAGAGCATCTAGGTGTTAAGGTTACAGTGGTGATCAATGCAGAATAGAATACTGTAATTGACAATTGAATAAATAAAAAGCCATACAGAAAAATATGACTAAAATGAGGAGTTTGTAAATACCTTTTTACATGGGCTTGTGATCCTGCAGCAGAGACCATCATCTGACTTTCTGTAATGTTGCACAAGTTCCTCTAAATCCTGGAACTTTTTCCGTGCTGCTATATAAAATCCTCCATTATCAAGCTTTCTAATTCTGTAGTGTTTGACAGCACTGCCATCATAGACTAGAAAAAAAAAAGAAGTAAATTCTATATGTGTTTGTTTTACAAACCAAACTATTTTGGTAAATATCAGCAATACAGCAGTCATGATTTTAGCTAAACCTCCACTTTGGAATAACATATATAAATTCTACACTTTTTTTATTACCGCTTGTTAATCATGAAAAAAAAAAGTTATGAAAAAGTACATAAAAACACAGACACCTTGAAAAAAGACGTGTTAAAAAAAAGATAATTCTATCATGTAAATCCAACATTAATCACATTGTCTAGCAATGTAAATCCAGCAATAATTTTGATGAGTCGCACCAAATGACCTGCTGACACGATGATATTCTACCGTCACTACTCCCATCCCAAATGACAGGCCCACGACACTGCAAGAATGTAAACAAAAGTGCTGGGGACCTGGGTGATGGCATGACCAAATATTTATTAACAAACAGAAGTAGGCTGGTGATCTGACTACTGTCATTTAGTGACAATAGGTTTGTTTTTTTTAGATGTTACCTGCACAATTTCATGTGCAGGCTTAAGGCATCCCCCAAGCATGACATTTAAAAAGTTTGTATATTTTTCACAAAATAAACTGAAATCCCAGACATATGATATGCCCTATAAATCAGGACAAATAACATAATTTATTATGAATTACTTTCTGTTAGCTACACTAATTATGTATACTGCCAAAACTGTGAAAAATGTTTTTTTTTTCTTTTATTGTACTTTCCTTAACTGCATCCGGGCCGGCCGTAGTGAAAAAATGGCCGGCCGGGAGCTCTTTAGTAGCTCCAGCTGATCCTTCGGCTAGCTTTGTGAATAACCCCTGTAGCAAAAAATGGCAAAATTGTTCTGGTCCCCAGAAGCAAAAACATTTTCTGAAGCTGTGTCACAAAGGGGTTATATACTGGCACTTACCTTATCAAGTGACCTTTGGAAAGTAAGTAATGTTACAAATAATAAAATGTTATCAGACAGGTCAATGTCTGTGAAGTGAGATAATATACCCTAGGATGATTAAATGGAAGCATTCAATTTAAAGCAAAAGCTAATAATAAAATAATAGTTTTGGTTGTATTTGTGTCTCTTTGCAAGCGTCATAAAAGAACTAAAATTAATTGAACGCCCTTGTACCAAGCTGTAATTGTGAACAAACCTTGTCCTTTGCACCTGAGAAACCCTTCAACCTGGGTCACTCAGTATACAAACTACAACTTTAGCTATATATGGTAATTCCACTATTGTTAAAAAATTATATTACAAAGAATTGCTAAGCAAACCCTTTGTAGCTTAAAGTGTATGTCAGGGCAAAATAACAATACAAAATGAATAACAGAAAAAATATTAAATAGCCCATCTCTGCAAAACCTGTATATTTTCACATGTGTTATGGCTTTAAAAACACTTTAAGTACAGAAAAATACCTGATTATCTTTTATAAAAAGCCTGACAAAAGGATCTAAGGCATCCCGGAAGGTTGTATCTTTAATAGTTTGAGTAAGCTAACAAAGAGTATGACTTTCAAACTTTCCGCATTAATAGATTGCTAACATGGTATAATATTCTACTACATTTCCTTTAATATTAAACAGATTTCTGGCAATTTCCACTCAGTCAGATAAGCTGAAATATATAATTAACTAAAGAACCATACCAAGCTGTAAACAATTAGAAAATAAAATAGCTGTTTTTTTTAAATGGAAAAAAGTATATCATATATTAACCCACTTATTTTGAAAGAATTGGCTTCAATATTAAAACTGATATTTTTTATTCACTTATTTTTACAGTCAACACTATATGTTTATAGACTTTGCCAGTTTGCAATTTACTGCTGGTAATTAACAAGGTAAACTGGCAACTTAGCACAGCTTGAAAATAGATTTGTTTCATTACAATCCAAACGTTTTTTTTTTTCCAAACATGAGATTTATTACATAGTTGCTAAAAGAAAAACACAAGTGATCGTTCCATTTATTGTTCCGGCATTTGCAAAGGAAATTGCTTGTACAGTCAATGAAATGCAACTCATTAGCTGTAGTGAGTACGCTTACCATCGCAGTTATCTCAGTTTTGCAGGGTCGCTTAGAAAGATGCATGATTTTGTATAAGTCAGTCAAAAAGCAGTATTTTATTTGTAGGGGACAGAGAACTGGCAACATTTATGGAACCAACATAGTGGCATTTGTAGGCATGGATATACAGTACAATAATGTCATCGAGGAACAATTATGGGCAGTTTGAGGTGCAAAACTAACAGGGCTATTCACAAAAGGGTGAAGAGTTTGGAGAAGGCAGGAGAAATGAACAATCTAGGACAACATAGTTGAATTGCAAAAATTCTCCAATTCTGCTCACTTTCCAGTTCAGCTATGTTGTCCTAGATTGTTCCCTTCTCCTGCCTTCTCCAAACTCTTCACCCTTTTGTGAATAACCCTTTCAAACTTGGCCTAACTTAAAAAAAAAAAAGAAAATGTTTTCTTTATACTCAACTTATGTAATGCTTAAATCTCTGTTCTTCCAACATACATATTATGCTATCCATAACACTGAAAGCAATGGTGTAGCTTTCAATGGTGAGCACTCTATACGTCTATTCAAATCCAAAGGGGTGACACAAGGAAAAGATGCACAAATGGTGAAAAGATTCTATATTTGATGCTATATTTGAAACTTAGTCAATGTGTTTCACTGTTAATATATCCCCTTCTTCAGGACTTATTGGTGTAAAGTGCAAAGTTTACATATACTTCAAAATCATTTATTTAAACTTTTTTCACATGTTGTTAAGCTGTTCCCAATAATAACCAGTTAAGCAATTTGTTAACACTATTAAACAGAATCTTGTGAAGGGGGCCCTGCTGGATTATGTGTCATAAATTACTGGCCACTGCCACTCACTTTTATGTTGTTTCATTATTGGGAAATAGTGCAGTTACAATAATGAGTTAGAGGCCTTGAAAGCCTGCTAGATTTTTTAACCTGCACTCCTCTTTAACTTATAAGGCCTTGTACTAAAGCAGTAAGGGCTTCTAAGGAAGTGGATTTTATCTCAGCATGGTATTTAAGTGCCACTGTTTCTAATAAAAACTCTAAATTACATTTAAGTCATTATCTGACACATGCAAAAAGCAAAAGATGCAAATACATGTAGGAAACAATCCACACCTTGCGTTTAATGAGGTTCTGTTTTTTAGATCTAAGTACATCTAAACCTTAACTGCATGACAGTTACAGGGTTATTCACAAAAGGGTGAAGAGCCTGGAGAACAATCTAGGACAACATAGCTGACCTGGAAAGTGAGCTAAATTGGAGAATTTTTTCCAGTTCAGCTAGTTTGTCCTGGATTGTTCATTTCTCCTTCCTTCTTCAAACTCTTCACCCTTTTGTGAATAACCCTGTTAGTTTGCTAATGTTTTCTATAAAATGCTGTTTTTACATTGTATTCATTCCATTTGCATATCAGAGCTGCTGATTTACTTCATCATCCTTCAGCCACTTTGTTTATATGCACAGCATTAGAGCATTAGCTACAAATCTTGTTACTGGATCAGCTTCCTTATAGTGACAATGGTGGAACCTGCCTATGTAACCTGTGTTGGCATGGCCATTGGCATTCTGCAGCAGGACCAGATATGACAGGTCGACAGTGCAGCAGCACAACTAGGAGGCAGTTGTCAACCCAACAGGAAGTGTCTGAAAAAGAATCTACCTTACCAGGATCGCCAGTTATTCTTTCCATGAAAGATGCAGAATTTGAAGATTAAAAACAACTTTTGATATTACATTAACATGTTAAAGCGTATACAGTTGGATGGTTAGGTTTAGAGCTACATTAAAGATAAAAAAAAATAATGATAATGAAAAAAAAAACTGCTGATACATACATAGTGCAGGCATCTAGGAGGTTCTTGCCCATACTTGCAAAACCTCTGTCAATATAAATTCCACTCTACCACCACTCATAATTTTCTATTGTTTGTCCATTCACTATAATAGGCTGCCTTACTGGTCAATAAGAATGTGTGGGAAGCAGAAGGCAGTGGAAAACCTTCAACTTTATCAGAGACTGCCAAAGCTTTGCCTGATCAATCTAGCATTTTCTTTTGTTTAAGTGACAGAGTCACTTTAAACCTGATTGGTTGCCATGTCTAACAAATCCACTGTTTTCTTATTCAAATGTTGGATTAGTAGGTAATGCAAATTACTTACAATCATTTTAAATGTATTTCTGACCCATGGCCACTACACTACACTTATATAAACCTTTTTAATAGACTTGTAAAGATAGGCTAACCATGTCAAACTATAAACAACATTTTATATAACTAAAAAGTAAATTTTCATGCAGATAGATCAAATATTTTTAAAACATAATTGTAACATTTTTGTATTAAAATAACATACCAGAAAGAGAATAATCTCCCCTTTGGCTCTCACTTTCTCTGATGAGAAAAGATCCAGCTTTGTTTCCTGGTAGGATGAGCTGCTTCTCAGCCTCCGACCTTTTTATTGTACAGAAGAACCACCTGCAAAAAAAGTTACTCGGTCAGTAAATTGGGAAGAGGTAACCTACCTTACAATAGGCTCATTTATTGTGGCCTGAACGTTACCTCATCATTTATATACCACATGAAAAAAATAATCGATCGGTACTTGCTAATGATCCACAGGATATGTTCCAATATTCCGTTAAAGCTGAATATAAATGACAAAAATAATTCAGCTCTGCAATCTTTAATACATCATTATTTTTTTTTCTTAATGCAAGCAGTGTAAGTACCTGAATTTGACTTTGTTTCAACTACTTGCAATCCACTGTACATCAGAGCTGAGACTGGGAAAGGGAGAAGCAGCATATAGAGCCAGTCAGTTGTGCTGCAGTGATCATGTGCTAACAAGAAATATGTTGATAGGGGGAGAAAGCAAAGCAAGAAGATCCCATCAGTCGTCTATTTCTCTGTTTACAGTTCAGTCACAGGCTGGGAATGGGACAATTAGTATTACCTAACTGCAGCAGACAAAAATCAGATCTTTTGCCCTGTCAGAACAGGACCATTTTGTGTGGCATAGCCGTGTAAATCTAAATAGATCCAAAATATGTATGTCAGGATGACCTCAAAATACGAGTGGGGGAATTTATCAAAAGTGGAGCAGACATAATCTGGAACAGTTGTCCATAGTAACCAATCAGCTAATGTCTTCAGTTTGTTCAGTTAAGCTTTGAAAATGAAAGCTAACTAGTTGCCATAGGCAACTGCTCTAGATTCTGTCTGCTCCAGCTATGATAAATTCCCCTCAATGTGCACGTGTGCCGATGCACAGGACAAAGGTCATTTCCAGTCAGCTGCATGTACACACATGCTTCTAAGAGCTTGCTGATAATATTTTGTTTGTGTGCTAATTCATACAAGCATGCTAACTTATGTGCAAACTCTAATCCACAAGGGTACGTTGCACAGATATGCGAATGTGCAGGTACACGGGCATGCACACCCAATTCCAGGCTTGTCACCAGATGACCTATTTAGGGAACAGTGCTAAGCTAAGAAGTTACAGATGGTCTTCAACTGTTACCCTGCCACTTGAATCCTGAACTTGATCCTGATCAGCTTTGCCGTCACTGACTTGTCCCTGCCTGCATATTATTGGCCTTGGCTAGTTTCTTACCATAGCTTGTCTCTGTTCATTCACATTGTGACCTCAGGTAGTTTTTGACCATGGCGTGTCTCTGCTCATCACCAATGTGACCTCGGCTAGTTCCTGACTACAGCTCTTCTCTGCTGACCCTCTGGTGTGACCTTGGTCTGCCTTCCTACCCACACCCAGCCTGGTATACTGCCTGCGATCTGTCTCAATAACTACAGATCACTTCCTGTCCAGACCACGCTTTCACCCTGCTGTGTGTTCTAGTGTCCCTATTCCTCACCACCTCATTCTGCACACTGTGCTGTATATTTCCTATCAAACATGAACTAAATATGTACATCTGCTGAATATAGTGCTGTGTATTCCCCATTTTAAGCTGCCTCATTTTGTAAGCTTTGCTTTACATTCCCTATTTCCCACTGTTTTGTAAACTGTGCTGTACATTTCCCTTTTTTTACACCGTCCCATTTTCTTTGCTGTGCTTTACATTCTCTATTCTTTCTCATTCTCATTTTCTGTCCACCATCTAATTCTGTTCACTTTGCTATGCTTGCATATCGGTATGGCCTGCATATAGACAAGGATTTCTGTGAAAGGGAAAGTTGGTTGTACTTTTCTCAAGGCTAAAGTTTCCCCGTAGACATGTGGCTGCCACTCCTAAGATTCCCTCCCACGATGACCTGTCTCTGGTGTCATACTACAAGCCATAAATCATGAAGTCACACCCGCTTTGTTGGCCCCACCCACTTCTGGCCACACCCCAAGGTTTCCTTTGAAAGTCCTTTAGGGTGCCCCTCCTAATTGTTTCCAAATGTTGTCAACAATGCTATGTAGAACTCATTTTAAAGGATTAGTCCTCCTCATGTCAAGATTTTCCACATTTCGTGTTGTTTTCCCCTCTATAAACATAATTTTAATATTCCACTGTTAACAACCACAAAATATAATACCACCTTAGTAACACACACTCCATGGGGTCTATTCACGAAGCACCCGAAGGATCTAGCCGTAGCTTCCGCCGATCCTTCGGCTAGCTTTGGCCCCATGACCCTGTACTGTACGGGCTATTCACTATACAGCCTGACTTCTGACAGCCTGCTTCTGACAGCTCCGGCCATTTGCAGAGAGATCAGCGTCCCTGGTTACCAGCTAACCAGGGACACTGATCTCCAGGCAGCCTAACTCTCCCTGGCGCTCCAGGAGTCTCCCGCTCCCGGCCGCTAAGGAGAGAAACACTGCTTTTTCTTTTTTTTTCTTATTCCGACACGGAGCCGTGTTAGAATAGAAAAAAAAATTGGAAATAGGAATGTATTGCTAGGTTCCTATTGGCTATTTCAATTTGCAATAGCCAATAGCAAACTAGCATTGCACCCGCCCTCTGCTGCAGTTCTCCATCAGGTCCACTACTGATTGACAGCAGCAGAGGGCGGGTACAATGCTAGTTTGCTATTGGCTATTGCAAATTGAAATAGCCAATAGGAATCTAGCAATGCATTCCTTTGGC